GAATTTTCAGTACGTGCCACGGAGATAGGTACACTTACCCCTACTTCTTATTAAAGAAGAGGAAAATCTTAAAATTCCTGCGACACGGCATTTTATGGGGACAATGACAACTGTTCCAATAGAGATGTGTAGAATGATTTACTCCCCAAAATGTGATAGTAACAAAGCCAGCGAAGGCACGCTGCCTTGCAGGGGGACGTTTGGGTATGAGGATGATGTCGTAGTGTGTCCAAAGACGAGTTGACATTGTCCTCGTCGAAGTCGGAATGCCCTCATACTTAGCCCTGGTAAGGTATGAAAGTCATTGCCTCCAGGACGGCAAACTCACCTGTGATCGGGCCAGGATCCCAAACGTGCGGGACTCTTAACGAATTTATGGCTACTTCACCTCACAAAAACCAACCTCCAAAAACTATAAATCAACTACTCCACAATTGCTCTACTGACTTTTATGTCTTCTGCTAAATCTGTGGAAAATTCGATGTCGATAATAATCGGTTTTCCATCTCCAAAAAGATAAGAAAAATCTATAAAGACTGTTTTGGAAGAAATGTAAGAGACTTAAATCATAGTTGGGTTCTATCGTCAATATGTAAGACTTGTAATAACATGTTCACGCGCTGAAAGGCTGCAAAAGAGCGCCCTTGTAATTACCACAACCTGCGGTCAGAAAATAATTTACTAGACACAAACTGTGCTTATACGGGTGAAAATGCTTTTTTCCATCATTAAGATAAATAATAAACGCAACTCGGGCACAAACATACATTAACCACGCCCTTCCAGCACTGAAGATTGTACTTCAGGGCCTAAGGATGTAATATACCATCATGTCATAGTATTTTTACCTTAATATTCTTTCTTATTAATAATATATAAAGTACAACAGAATGAAACTGTGTTATTGCTTTGCGAAGAACTAACTAAATTATTTATTTTAGGTGATGAAATTTTGTTATTTTTTAGAAAAAACTCAAAAGACAAGCTTACTAAGACCAGATAACTTTAGTTGTTAGTAAACCTACCTCAAGGGCGATAACCTGTAACTTTTTTGTGTGTTTTAATGCTATGAAGATTACTATTTCTCATCGTTTAAGACTCAAAAGTCCATGCAATCAATCCTAAACGATCGCATTATTAATCGGCTTTAGTAACATGACGATTAATTTTTAGAATACAATCATTATATCCCTCTGAATGAAAATCAGTATTAATAGAGTCCAATATTAACTTATTTGTTAATTTTACCCACAAGGCATCAGGGACGAGGGGCTGACTACTTCGAACATCCTATAAATTCTACTAAAATACTCCAGGTTCTCTTTTGAGTTCTCTTTGCTGCTTTTAAGTTCTCTCATACGCTCTTATTAGCTCCGCATAACGGAATAAAAATATATAGAGCATATAACAGAACTCGAAGAGTTGTCGGGAGCTTTTACTAGACAGACAGAGAAATTTTGGGAGAACATAAGAGAACTAGAGAGAACCTGAGAGTATTTATGAAATAAATACTCCCAGGTTCTCTCTAGTTTTTTAATGTTCTCATAAGTTCTTATGTGCATTCTCTCTTAATCTCAAGTTTTATTGCATGTACTCTTCCATTCTCATGAATTCTTATCTGCACTCTTCGTTTTTTAAATTCTCTTAAGTTCGCTCAAGCTCCTTTAAGTTCTCTTTGAGTTCACCTATTTGATCTTTTGTTATCTGCGGCAAGAGAACTTAGTGAGCAGCCTCTTAATTAGAGACTAAGATATTTAAATTCCAACGAATAGTTATTCTGATAATATACCCAGAATTAAAAGTGCCTTAATTTAATATTTTGCTCTATTAAACTTTTTATACAGCGAAATAAACAGTAATAAAATGAGTAAAACTTTTTAATAAGACTTATTCTCAGTATTCTAGTGGGGAACATTGTATTTTACGATTGTACACACATTACGTATCATAATATAAAAAGATTAAGAATTTTTAATATAATGTTTCTAATACAGTACAGTTTCGACACTTTTTAGAAAAATAAAAGTGTTAGGCGAAATTATTATACTTTTAGAATTGGGTAAGCAAACAGAATAATTTAGTTGTAATTCACGAAAATATATGAACTTCAAATGCATATCCTCTTAGTACTAGAATTATTAAAAGTATCGTTTTTTTACGCATTTCATTAGCTTATACATACAGCTTTTTTTAAATCGATTACTTACCGGTGAGCCAAAGTTGTGTCCTATCTCGTGGGCCAAAGTCAACTGTGATACCTTAGGTGGTACTCGGCTGTTATAGTTGACAAAAGTAATAATACCTGTGTTAAGTGAACGCTTTGTAGACTGGTACATACCGCCCACTGTTTCCGTATATGTCTTGTACTTTTCGCAGATACCACCCGAAGCACCTGAAGCTGAAGCTACCCATGCGAGTCCAAGCGTACCACCTGTAAAATCCCTATTAAAAAAGGTTTTTACTTACTACACTTATGAAAAAAAGAGACCATGCATAATAATTTAATTTGGAATTCAGTAAATAAAAACAATTATTAAAAACCACTATTAGTATTATTAGTAAAGTAACGGAGCAGAACATCTGGAAAGCAGAGGTTATACTGTGCCAATTTCACTCAACACTTTAAAACAACTTTACTGTAGTGCTTTTTTGTATGCTCATCGCTTAAGACACAATCAGTTATAATAAAACAATAAAAATACTGTACTAGTACAAATCTCAACTTAATGGAGCAATTTTAAGAATGTATAAAAACTACATTCAAAAATGTAATCTCAATATGCTTCAATAATAACTAGGTTAATCGCTCTAACCTCAATTTTTGCTAAAAAATCAGAATTTAATGACTGCTTACTAAAAATAAATTTTTTCGTTAAAATAAAAATGGAATTAATTAAAATGTTACAAAGACGTAAGTAAAACAAAATACACAATAGTTTAACTATTTTCCAGAAATCAAATCAACCAAGAAGATTTCTAAATATAAAAGAAATTAAGTACATCAATACTTCACACTAACATTTTGCTTTGCTTTCTGACAACCCGCTAGTTCATCGAAGCCACCACAATATTAGAATAGTGGATCAATTTTTAGCATTAAAAACTCTACATTAATTGTTATGTCAGTGTTCCATTCCTAGTTAATTCATACAAATAATATGATAAGTTCAAACGCAATTTATTTGTCAAATTCACACATGTCATAATGTAAATACACAAAAGCTCATATGACAAGCAGAGATTAGTAAAGAGATTGCTGACTGCAAAGCTACGGCACGAGTTCCCTTTTGCCACTGTTTCGAGGGCCCCGTCGTGGCTTAGTGGCCAAACCAGGCACACTTTTTTTTCTTTCATTTTAGAAGCGAGGAGGGGGTATACCGAGTGTGTGCTTACGGATTCACGTGATAATGGGCATGTAGGCGCATACTTTAAAGACGCGTGGAAGGTATATACTGAATGTGCGCCTACAAACGGAGAAGTGGAAATGACGACTACAGCTATATAGCTATGACCGCTTATAGCATAGCGAATACAAGCGACGAGTGCGAAGTATTTCTCGCTAAGTATACTTACTTCTTAAATGAGATTTTTGAGATTAAGAGGTAGTAGAGAAAAAAAGTTTCGTCATTGTTGATTATAAAATAAAAAACCTTTTCTTTCATTTTACAATTCTCTATAACATATATAAGGTTAAGAGAGCCTAGCCACATGATTTTTCAAAAATTAAATCATACAACTAAATGCTTACAACTGTAAGCACAGACTTTCATGGCATTTATTTTGAATTCATCCTGTAATTTGGATTATTTTTAAAGTACTGTATATCAAAGAAAGTGCGTTGAAAAAATATTTAGCTTAAACTTTTTTCTGAGGTTGACAAAATGGCTATAACCACCTTAAATACAGTTTATTATTTTTACTGATCATAATCACTATGAACTGTAGGCCAAGTTCTGGAGGGTATGAATGAACATATGTGACTTCAAATCGTATGGTACCCAAAGTTTGGAAAGCTAAAATGGTGGGGGCTTATGCCACTGGTGAGATAGTTTTGCAATCTGACGTTCGATTCTACTTGCCGTCAGTTTTTTTATTTTTTATGCAAATTTTTCTGGATGAAATTTATGCAATATAATTCATTTTTCTGTTTTAATTTCTTATTATAACTTTTGTTGTGATTTTTTTTTCTCGTAAAAATCGTTTGTATCTTAAGAACTAGTTAATGGATTCAACTATGCAAGGTTTTAAATGTTTGTTTGCTTCTTCTTTCGATCGATACATTTAAGTTATGTATCTGATTAAAATTGATACAACAATTTCCTAATTTGTAGTTTTAGACTAATCCTCAAGAAGATCTTGATTCATATACAGCACGAAAAAACTTATTTTTGATTTTTCCTAATTCCACAAGGTTGTTAGTTCTTTTTTTTTGCTTTTTGTTTATACAATAACAAATTTATGTTGATAAGATAAATATCATGCTATTCTCAACAGATTTTACTTATCCGAATTTGTAATTTATACGTATGAACATTCAAATGTTTACTGCAGCTAAGAAAAACAAATGTAGTTTTGTTTGTTTTAAAATATCTTTTACGATTTTTTGATGACAAAAAACATTATACTGCAATAAGTGATTAAAACTTTTAATTAGTATTTCTACGTAATTTAATGATTTTAAATGATTTTTTTTTACTGCTAAGGACATTGTATTTTACGATTGTACACACATTACGTATCATAATATAAAAAGATTAAGAATTTTTAATATAATGTTTCTAATACAGTACAGTTTCGACACTTTTTAGAAAAATAAAAGTGTTAGGCGAAATTATTATACTTTTAGAATTGGGTAAGCAAACAGAATAATTTAGTTGTAATTCACGAAAATATATGAACTTCAAATGCATATCCTCTTAGTACTAGAATTATTAAAAGTATCGTTTTTTTACGCATTTCATTAGCTTATACATACAGCTTTTTTTAAATCGATTACTTACCGGTGAGCCAAAGTTGTGTCCTATCTCGTGGGCCAAAGTCAACTGTGATACCTTAGGTGGTACTCGGCTGTTATAGTTGACAAAAGTAATAATACCTGTGTTAAGTGAACGCTTTGTAGACTGGTACATACCGCCCACTGTTTCCGTATATGTCTTGTACTTTTCGCAGATACCACCCGAAGCACCTGAAGCTGAAGCTACCCATGCGAGTCCAAGCGTACCACCTGTAAAATCCCTATTAAAAAAGGTTTTTACTTACTACACTTATGAAAAAAAGAGACCATGCATAATAATTTAATTTGGAATTCAGTAAATAAAAACAATTATTAAAAACCACTATTAGTATTATTAGTAAAGTAACGGAGCAGAACATCTGGAAAGCAGAGGTTATACTGTGCCAATTTCACTCAACACTTTAAAACAACTTTACTGTAGTGCTTTTTTGTATGCTCATCGCTTAAGACACAATCAGTTATAATAAAACAATAAAAATACTGTACTAGTACAAATCTCAACTTAATGGAGCAATTTTAAGAATGTATAAAAACTACATTCAAAAATGTAATCTCAATATGCTTCAATAATAACTAGGTTAATCGCTCTAACCTCAATTTTTGCTAAAAAATCAGAATTTAATGACTGCTTACTAAAAATAAATTTTTTCGTTAAAATAAAAATGGAATTAATTAAAATGTTACAAAGACGTAAGTAAAACAAAATACACAATAGTTTAACTATTTTCCAGAAATCAAATCAACCAAGAAGATTTCTAAATATAAAAGAAATTAAGTACATCAATACTTCACACTAACATTTTGCTTTGCTTTCTGACAACCCGCTAGTTCATCGAAGCCACCACAATATTAGAATAGTGGATCAATTTTTAGCATTAAAAACTCTACATTAATTGTTATGTCAGTGTTCCATTCCTAGTTAATTCATACAAATAATATGATAAGTTCAAACGCAATTTATTTGTCAAATTCACACATGTCATAATGTAAATACACAAAAGCTCATATGACAAGCAGAGATTAGTAAAGAGATTGCTGACTGCAAAGCTACGGCACGAGTTCCCTTTTGCCACTGTTTCGAGGGCCCCGTCGTGGCTTAGTGGCCAAACCAGGCACACTTTTTTTTCTTTCATTTTAGAAGCGAGGAGGGGGTATACCGAGTGTGTGCTTACGGATTCACGTGATAATGGGCATGTAGGCGCATACTTTAAAGACGCGTGGAAGGTATATACTGAATGTGCGCCTACAAACGGAGAAGTGGAAATGACGACTACAGCTATATAGCTATGACCGCTTATAGCATAGCGAATACAAGCGACGAGTGCGAAGTATTTCTCGCTAAGTATACTTACTTCTTAAATGAGATTTTTGAGATTAAGAGGTAGTAGAGAAAAAAAGTTTCGTCATTGTTGATTATAAAATAAAAAACCTTTTCTTTCATTTTACAATTCTCTATAACATATATAAGGTTAAGAGAGCCTAGCCACATGATTTTTCAAAAATTAAATCATACAACTAAATGCTTACAACTGTAAGCACAGACTTTCATGGCATTTATTTTGAATTCATNTTCAGATATTACAGAAGTTGTAACAATAAAAAGAAATATAAACCACATCCTCATTTACTAATAAAAAGCAGGCCTAACGGTAATCTATTCGTAATAGCTTGTATTATGGGTTAAAATAATACATGTGCGCCTACAAACGGAGAAGTGGAAATGACGACTACAGCTATATAGCTATGACCGCTTATAGCATAGCGAATACAAGCGACGAGTGCGATTTTGCTCTCGCTAAGTATACTTACTTCTTAAATGAGATTTTTGAGATTAAGAGGTAGTAGAGAAAAAAAGTTTCGTCATTGTTGATTATAAAATAAAAAACCTTTTCTTTCATTTTACAATTCTCTATAACATATATAAGGTTAAGAGAGCCTAGCCACATGATTTTTCAAAAATTAAATCATACAACTAAATGCTTACAACTGTAAGCACAGACTTTCATGGCATTTATTTTGAATTCATCCTGTAATTTGGATTATTTTTAAAGTACTGTATATCAAAGAAAGTGCGTTGAAAAAATATTTAGCTTAAACTTTTTTCTGAGGTTGACAAAATGGCTATAACCACCTTAAATACAGTTTATTATTTTTACTGATCATAATCACTATGAACTGTAGGCCAAGTTCTGGAGGGTATGAATGAACATATGTGACTTCAAATCGTATGGTACCCAAAGTTTGGAAAGCTAAAATGGTGGGGGCTTATGCCACTGGTGAGATAGTTTTGCAATCTGACGTTCGATTCTACTTGCCGTCAGTTTTTTTATTTTTTATGCAAATTTTTCTGGATGAAATTTATGCAATATAATTCATTTTTCTGTTTTAATTTCTTATTATAACTTTTGTTGTGATTTTTTTTTCTCGTAAAAATCGTTTGTATCTTAAGAACTAGTTAATGGATTCAACTATGCAAGGTTTTAAATGTTTGTTTGCTTCTTCTTTCGATCGATACATTTAAGTTATGTATCTGATTAAAATTGATACAACAATTTCCTAATTTGTAGTTTTAGACTAATCCTCAAGAAGATCTTGATTCATATACAGCACGAAAAAACTTATTTTTGATTTTTCCTAATTCCACAAGGTTGTTAGTTTTTTTTTTTTGCTTTTTGTTTATACAATAATAAATTTATGTTGATAAGATAAATATCATGCTATTCTCAACAGATTTTACTTATCCGAATTTGTAATTTATACGTATGAACATTCAAATGTTTACTGCAGCTAAGAAAAACAAATGTAGTTTTGTTTGTTTTAAAATATCTTTTACGATTTTTTGATGACAAAAAACATTATACTGCAATAAGTGATTAAAACTTTTAATTAGTATTTCTACGTAATTTAATGATTTTAAATGATTTTTTTTTACTGCTAAGGTAGCTGTACAACGTTTAGCGGTAGCTATTTACAGTGTTAGATAACTGCATTTTTTTAAATTTTGCACTGGAAATTTTTTCTTGGTAACATTCTAACTTATAATACAAGCTATTACGGACAGAGATAAGCCTAGGTTTTTTTTTTTTTTTTTTTTAATACAGAAATTTTTGTATAGAGTAAAACATTTCGATTAATAACTCGTCAAAACCATTTAAAACGTTTTCAAGACACAACACATTTTTTAAAGTAGCGTAATAATTCATTATTGAATAAAAAATAACGAAAAAAGTTTTTTTTCTTGGTATTATTTTAACCCATAATACAAGCTATTACGAATAGATTACCGTTAGGCCTGCTTTTTATTAGTAAATGAGGATTACGGACAGAGATAAGCTAAGGCTTGTTATTTTTTAGTATAGAAATTTTTGTTAAAAGTAAAACAATTCGATTAATAACTCATTAAAACCATTTGAAACGCTTGTCAAGTATAACTTAATTTTTGAAGTAGCGTTATATTTTATTATTGATAAAATAACGTAAAAACTTTTCAGTATTGTAATGATACAGCTATTAGAATGTTGCAGATTGTAAAGAATGTTTGATAATTATTATTAAATACCAATAAAGCAGTTGAACTTTCAAAAATAGTTTGCTGGATGAGTACAAGTGGAAGTTTTTTCGGAGTGAAAGGCAAAAAAAAGCATTTTCAAATATCTGGGGAAAATGAAGCCTTTTTAAAATAAGTAACAAGAAAGTCTTTATAACTAAATTTTTTTTGCTCTGATTATAATGTGGCAATGTGTATGTTAACATACATAAAAAACATAAGCATTAATTGATAATTTAAACTCTCATCACTGGATAACATAAGGCGCTTAATTAATAATTATTTAATTGATCAAGTAGTAATTGGTAACACGCTAATTAAGGTAGTGTGGAGTGATTTCTTGACAATAATGTCATAAGTAAAGCAATAATTTGTACTTATAAAGTATACTGTAAATACCCTTTTTTATTTGGTAATAAGCTTTTCTATGATGATTGTTTTATTAACTACTTAAGCGATTGATTTTAATGAGCAAGCATGCGGCAGCTCCGGCAACTGTTTTGCAAGAATTTGTATACATGTACATAGGCGTCTGACACTTTTTTTCATTTTACTGCAAAAATAACTTGTCGATCTCTCTGAAAATTGATTATGATACGAGTTTTATGGTTATGCGTCGTGCAAAAAAAAATGAAAAACATTATTTCTAACATTATTATAAACATCTTGATAATATTTGAGGAAAATGTACACAAAATGCTATATGTCATAAACGTCCTTGAGTAATACTTCATTAAATAAGGCATAAATGTATGTATATACACACTTGTATTGCCAACCTTAAGTTAGAAGAAAAAAAGTAATACTCAAGAAGACTATTCTTTCTACTCAATTTTAAAAAGCTCTCTAATGCCTTCTACCCTAAAAAGACTTTTTCTTGCGCTGACTCAACGCTATTATTCAGATATTACAGAAGTTGTAACAATAAAAAGAAATATAAACCACATCCTCATTTACTAATAAAAAGCAGGCCTAACGGTAATCTATTCGTAATAGCTTGTATTATGGGTTAAAATAATACCAAGAAAAAAAACTTTTTTCGTTATTTTTTATTCAATAATGAATTATTACGCTACTTTAAAAAATGTGTTGTGTCTTGAAAACGTTTTAAATCGTTTTGAAGAGTTNAAAAAAAAAAAAAAAAAACCTAGGCTTATCTCTGTCCGTAATAGCTTGAATTATAAGTTAGAATGTTACCAAGAAAAAATTTCCAGTGCAAAATTTAAAAAAATGCAGTTATCTAACACTGTAAATAGCTACCGCTAAACGTTGTACAGCTACCTTAGCAGTAAAAAAAAATCATTTAAAATCATCAAATTACGTAGAAATACTAATTAAAAGTTTTAATCACTTATTGCAGTATAATGTTTTTTGTCATCAAAAAATCGTAAAAGATATTTTAAAACAAACAAAACTACATTTATTTTTCTTAGCTGCAGTAAACATTTGAATGTTCATACGTATAAATTACAAATTCGGATAAGTAAAATCTGTTGAGAATAGCATGATATTTATCTTATCAACATAAATTTGTTATTGTATAAACAAAAAGCAAAAAAAAAAAACTAACAACCTTGTGGAATTAGGAAAAATCAAAAATAAGTTTTTTCGTGCTGTATATGAATCAAGATCTTCTTGAGGATTAGTCTAAAACTACAAATTAGGAAATTGTTG